CTTGCATTTTTATTTTCAATTTTGTACAATATTCAATATGGTTGTAATAGCTAATTAGGTTTAACTTTCTTGCAATCCCCATTTGTAATTTGTACACCCCTCCCTCAAGTATTGTAATAGCGTAGTAATTTTAAATTCTGCAATTTATTGCCTTATATACAAATGCTAGTAATTAGGATTTTGTATGGAAAGACTAAAACCAATCAATTAGAAAACCCTAATCGAAGACAAAACCAAGCATGAAAATAATACACTTGCACACAAGCACCCCTAGAGTAAATCCACTTGGTTGCCTTACTAAATGGCCATATTACGCATGTGAGGTATCTTAGCAAAAACAAGCAAAATACAAGATCATAGTCCCTCGATGACGCTATCCATGTTGCCTTTCAAATGATCTTAGTCCCTAAAAAAGAATGCTAAGATACCTTGCAACATTGCTAATCATGGTTATACGATGACCCACGCCCGTACCGTTTACATCCAAAGATAGGGTTACTTACCAAATTAATGGTAAGATAACAATGTTAAAGGAAAAGAAAATGAACATGAAATACTTTTGAGTAGGTAGAATGCTCCTAATTACTTGCTCAATTTCAAAACAAAACATCCTTGCTATTTTCAAAACAAACACCTACACTTTCAAAACATCTTACAAAACTTGAAAACATTTTCAAAAGATCAAACACTTTGTATACATTCTTACGAACGAGAATCATTACAAAGTTTTCCTAAACAATGTCCTCTTTATAAAATACTTTCAAAAACCACACAAAGCACAATTTCAAACTAAAGCAAGTGATCTAGCAAGTAACTAAGAGCCCATGGAAAACCATGGATGAAAAGGGTGTTAATACCTTCCCTTTTCATAATCTACCCCTCGAGCTCAAGAAATAATCGCAAAGGTCTTTCAAGTGCTTTTTCACCTTTCCGTTTGGATAAAAGAAAAGTCGATGGCGACTCTTGCTAACCGCAATATTTGCGATAAAATGCAAAACACCCAAGTCAGTTCTCCCACCGTATCACAAGAACTAACTGCGAGTAAAGAGTGTTTTCTTTGAATCAGTTTTCTACCATGATTATGCTCCGACCAAAAGTTGTTTGAATTTTATTATGTTGGTTTTGGAGAATTTGGTTCACCGTGTCCCATTATGTACAAAGATCTCCCTTGCTATTACCCAAGCATGTCTTCAATGCCGGATGTGCAGATTCGACTCTATTTGTTGTTGTGTTTCCTAAATGTCTAACTGGTTCATCCAAGCACACAAAACTTTCTCTTTCATCTAATCAAAAATAGTAGATTCAATGTATTTCAGAAAATCAGGATATTTGACACATAAGCTCCTAAAATGTACCACATTTTCAACTTACAACTCCTTTGTAGAAGAATTTAATATATTCATCCATGCATCCATTATGTTCTTCACCACAACACTAGATTTGACAATGTTTCCGTCTCCACCCTTAATTTCATTGTTGCCAACCACAAGTTTTAGCCTAGCTCTCACATTTTTGTTAGATGATACCAACAAAGTAATGCATATGAAGTAGGAAACACACTTGCAACTGCATTCATAAGGGCATTATCTCGATCGATTACAATGACACTAGGCATATTATATGGATCCTTCAACAAACTCTTTCATATATCTAACGCCCATATAACATTGTCTTCTTTCTCAGATTCCAGAAATGAAAATCCAACCGAAAATGTCTTCTTCATAGAAGTGACACCAACAACTTCTAGAAGCGGAAGCCTATATTTGTTGGTCTTGTACGTTGAATCAATTATAAGGGCAATTGGAAATGTGTTGAACAACTTGATACTGTCTAGATGCGTCCAAAAATGCCAAGAACACAAACTTTATCCTCACACACTCTGTACCTTGGAACATAGTGGTTATCGTCCAAAAGTTTCAAAAGTTGTTGCATTTCGGATCTCAGACCTCTATTCACCATGTTTTGTTGATAACGTTCATTGTATACCTTCTTGATATTTGAAACACTTTGTGGTCTTTTCCGTTTCTAATCGGCAAGTATGTTTCTCGGTGCAACTTTGATTATCGACATCTCCAAAATAATTTCCCTTTCCTCCGGCTTAAGCCTACATACAATTGGACGACCTTGTTGCTTGGTGTCCAATGCATGATTATGCATATGTGTAATTTAAACTAACACTCACATTTCCTCGATCTGGTGTCTTCATGCTTCAACTTCCGAATTTTTGGAACATATTTACCACTTCTCTCGTATACCATCATTGAAGATTTTATCTTCTACTAATGCCATTGTTGGATCTTCCAATCACAACACCAAACCCGAGTTGGCTAGCTTCCATTCGGACCCATTCAAGCATATGTTGACGAACACTAAAAATTTGATCATTTGTAAATTATTGTCGAACATCTATCTCGACATAAATCTTTTTAACGTTGTCCTTCACCTCATTTGACTTAGCGTCGTCATTCACCTTGTCCAAAACCTTTACAACAACTTTAGAAAACATGTAGTGGTGCACCACATCTAAAATGAGTAAAAATAAAAAATCTATTAAAACTGATTTTGTATCAGGGGCAATTTCGGATATGCACATCCAAAATATAGTGGGTGAGTTTCAGATATGCATATCTGAAGTGACGCTATTTTTTCAACCAAAACTCAATATCAATGCAAGGAAATGAGAGGCGAAATGACAAATTTTTACCTTAAATTTTAACTTTCTTTGTTCAAGTTGATATGATAAAACACTTGAAATTTGGTTTGGAGACGAACATTTGATTGAGAATGATTGAGGTTTTGTGGTAGGTTTTGGTTATAGGGGGGAACGAAAGGAATGAAATATGGATAATGGTGATCATGAAGTAAACTTATATAAAAAGGTATTTCTAGATATGCATATCTAAAAATACCATTGAATGTTTAAATTCAATGTTCAAATAATAATATGTAAACAAGATGTTTTTGGATATGCATATCCGAAACACCTTGAAAATTAATTTAGGAATTCATTCAGATATGCATATCCGAAGCATATTTTGAAGTTTTCAGAAGTTTTTTTTATTCATATAAGAGTGTACTATTAGACCTATGCATGGTGTAGTTTATAACCACCCCAAATTTCAAATTTTGGTTTATAAACCAGCTCTTATTTACTTTTTAAAAACTGGTTTATGTTTTTGTAAACTAATTTTAAACTGGTTCAGAACCATATTTATCTATAAATCTAGTTTTTTTATATAACTTGTTTTGAAAGGGATATTCTTATAAACCAGAACATTTCCAATTTTCCTTTTTTCTTTTTTTCTTTTTTTAATACTACTTCATTTTTTATATATAAAATAGTAAACATAAATAAAAAACAAGGTTCACTATGTAATTGGAAGTAAATTGAATCATTGAAATAAATCAACCAAAATCTTCACTATTTGAATCACTGAAATAAATTAACCAAGATCTTCACTGTTTGAATAATTGAATCAAGGTCTTTCCATGTTATAGTTTTCCTATCGGCTTCATCAAAATCGTGATACACGCAACAACACCCTCACCTTTGTTGTCGATTAGTAATATATCCAATTGAATCATTAGTCTCTTGAAGATGAACACATTTTCAATGATTCAACGATTTCTTTGTCTTAGTTGTGTAGTAGTTTTCCGGAGATGAAAGTCATATCTATCAGAGGATATGAGTGTTTTGCCATGAATCGTTGTTATAAAGACCAAAGAGGAAGTTGCCGCCACCAATGAGCGAGATAGTTTCATGAGAGAAAGTGACATATTTCTAAGAAATCTGGTCTTTAATGGTTAGCGGTTCATAATAAACGGGTACCGATTATTGAATTTTTAAATAAAATAGTAATGGTTCCGTTTTTTTCTAAAAGGTGCTCGCGGATATCAGTATCCGTTAATAAATTATAAAAATTACTTAAATATTATTATTTTATTATACTATATATTTTTATCTTCTAACAAAATAATTTTCTCATATATATATATATATATATATATATATATATATATATATATATATATATATATATATATATATATATATATATATATATATATATATATATATATATATATATATATATATATATATATATATATATTAAAGTTTTCTTTGAAAAAAATATTCATATTCAATATAAAACTTATTCACTATTTCATATTTAAATTTCTTTTGTATTGCATACCTATCTCACTTCAACAATTCTACTGGCTAATCAAACCGGTATTGTCATTTTCCCGTCGAACCAGTGCCATCATTTGTACTCCTCCATTGATTACTCTTCCATCGTAATTCATAATCACAATATCTTTCAATTTATTTTGTTAAAAATGAAATGTATGAATATTATATTTTGGTGAAAATGAAGAAAATTAATGTAACAAAGAGAGATTTGTATGAATGTTATGTGAAAATAACTTCTTATGTCTTTAAAAGAAATTGAAAATATTTTTTCAAAACATAATTTTAGAAAAAAAGTGTTATCCATGGATATTTGTAAATATCCATAGATATCTTAAAACTCACAGATTACCCGTTTAATGAATATCTGCACGGATATAAGACAAATATGAATATATTTATCTAACGGAGCGGATACAAATATCATATTTTTTGTCTCATAGATATTGATTTCCCTCGCTAGTAATCAGGTGCATTGGTCAGTAGAAAAGTAGATAATGAAAAGAAAAGAGAAGGGGTGTTTAAGTAGTTATACGGTGTTGTTAGAGATTATGCAATATATAAGTCCAATAATGGGCCGAACCACCAAATAAAAAAACTCGTCGACTTCTCAATTTCCCAATCAGAAGAACAAAGAGAAAACAAAGCAGAAGCTTCTATGGATTCCTCCATAACACTACAGTGGTAGCTTTGGTTCAACCATTTCAGAGATAATTAATTTTATTCGAGTGTTTGAATTTTCACGATTTCGCTATTTTCATTTTCCAACACTCAAAAAATCCATCTAGGGTTTGCGAATTTGGAATCCATGGCACGAGCTCGCAATTTAGTTGTTGCTGCTGGTTTAGTCGCTTTTGCTTCAGCAGGCATGGCTTTTCCTTTCTACATGGCGTAAGTTAGATCCAATTTCATTCACAATTTCCATTACTTATTCTTGAATTTGAATTTGAATTGTTGATTTGCATTTTTTGTTTGTGTTGTTTAGTTCCTCGAAGAAACCGGTTATTGATCCAACAAAACCACTTTCGCCACAAGCTACTTTTCGAGGACCTTATATAAACACTGGTTCGCGCGATGTTGGTCCTGATCATCAGACTTACCAAAAGAAGTGAACGAAGTTGAGAATTTGTTTGGCCCCAATTGAGATTAAGATCATGTTATATTATATGATTAGTGTAACTGGTTTGAGTTTTTGTAAAATTAGTTTCAAAATGTATGTCATTTTTAATAAAAAGATGAATGTTGTTAGTTAATTATGACACATTTTGTAGATGAATGTTGTATTGCTTGTTCAAATAGTTAAGCTCTTTGGTAAATTGAGCCAATGGCAATGTGTAGTTTTGGTTCCTCGCATTTGTTTCTATGTTGCGCAATGGTAACAATTAACAGGAAGGTATAAATCTAATCTTCATTCTCGGGCGGTGCCAAATTGCCAACACTTTCACATTACCATCCATAGTTTCGTTGTTCTCACTGTTTTTCTCCAAGATTCTAGAAGTCTTGTGTGCTACTTGGCAGTAGCTACATCAACTTTTGAATACACTCTTCAAAGTTGTGGATGTCCCATCATTACGCCACACCACTCTTTCATTTTATTTTCCTTATCACAAACTAAAATTTGTCACCACTGCTGTTAGAAAACAAATATAAAGAGTGAAAATGGAGCTATATCTCTCTACTTTATTCATATCAATAATGATTATTAAATAGTCTTACATAAGAAAACTGAAAACTCCACGTTTGTAATAATTTCTAGAAACCTGGATATTAATTTGACTAAGAAAAACAAACAGACTTGAATAAGTTATAGTTGAAACTACCCATTAAATATTAGCACAACCAACCCACTAATCATGCTGACTGGTATCCTCAACATCCTCCCTTAAACTGCAACTTCTCATTTATCTTCTGGTTTGCAGTTTACCTCAAATTCAGAACAAACACCGAGACTTTTTCGCAGGTCCAAGAATGTTCCCAACTTCAATGGTTTGGTCATAAGATCTGCTAATTGTTCTTGACTAGCACAGTAAACCAAATTTATAATTCCCTCTTTGGACATCTCACGAAGAAAATGAAATCTAACATCGATATGTTTACTACGGCCATGTAAAACTGGATTTCTAGACAGTTTAATAGTAGAGTCATTGTCACAATTAATAGATATGCCTTTAGAAGCAGAAATATGATTTAACTTTGCCAGTACTCTTTGTAACCATACTGCTTGACAAGCACAAGCGGCTGCTTGACAAGCACAAGCGACAACAACTGTGAATTCAACTTCTGTGGTGGATAAGCTAACTACTGGTTGTTTCTTTGAGCTCCACGAGACTGCTCCAACGCTAAACATGAACACATAGCCAGAAGTGCTTTTCCGATCATCTATGTCACCTGCATAATCGCTGTCAGTGTATGCTATAAGCTCATTTACTCCACCCTTTTTGTAATGAATTCCGAAATGAGCAGTGCCTTTCAAATAGCGCAGTACCCGTTTTTCTACCAACATATGTTTCACTGAAGGATTCTCCATGTAACGGCTAAGGAGACTGACAACATATGACAAATCAGGTCGTGTAGCAGTCGTTAAATACATGAGACACCCAACAAGTTGCTTATAGTGAGACTTGTCCACCCTCTCATCATTGCCAATTTCCTTTGTGATCTTGACTCCTGGTACTATAGGATTTTTCACTGAATTAGAGTCATTCATGCCAAAGCGTTTTACTACCTCCAAAGCATATTTCTTTTGAGATATAAAAATACTGTTGGCCAATTGCAGAACTTCAAGTACATTAAAATATCGCATCTTACCGATATCTGTCATCTCAAATTCTTGTTTCATAGAACTCACAAAAGAAGTGAACATCACAAGATCATTACCGGTATAGATGAGATCATCAACATACATGCTGACAATTAAGATCTTGCCTCCTTGTTCTGTTTTGATGAATAGAGTGCGTTCATAATCACATTTTTCAAATCCCATCCTCATAAAGCATGCTTCTATCCGACTATACCATGCCCGCGGGGCTTGCTTCAGGCCATAAAGAGCTTTCTTTAGCCGATATACCTTCTCCTCACACCCCTTTTTGACGTATCCGCAGAGCTGTTCTACAAACACTTCTTCTTCAAGCTCACCATATAGAAATGCTGATTTGGCATCAAGCTGGTAGATCGACCAATTTTGTTGTGCTGCCGAGGCTAGGATAAAGCGAATGGTTTCTATCCGTGCTATAGGAGCAAACACTTCGTTATAGTCTATGCCATATCGTTGTGTGTACCCTTTGGCTACTAAGCGGGCCTTGTATTTATCAACTTGACCGACTTCATTGTACTTGGTCATGTAAATCCACTTGAGACCAACAATTTTCCCACCACTAGGCAAGTCCACCAATTCCCAAGTATCATTCCTTTTTATGGACTCAATCTCTGTGTCCATTGCTTGCTGCCATTTCACACTTTTAACAGCCTCTTCAAAGCAATTTGGATCACCATCACATGTAAACAAGGCTAAGTTAGAGAATGAATCTGCAAGTTCATCATCTGAAAGACCCTCACTAGTAACAAAATCATCCATCCAGGCTGGTTGGCGACGTTCTCGCAATGGGTAACCTGTGGATGATTCACCCGGAGTTGATGTACTACTTGCAGATTCATTATTATCAGCATGTGAGGAAGATTGATCAACATTTGTGGGCTCAAGACTGTCAGAATTGTTGTTGCCATCATCATTTTCTTCCTCCACCTCCAATTCATACATTGTTGATGGTTTAGAATTGGTGTGCCAATTCCAAGCCTTATCTTCTTCAAAAACAACATCCCTGCTAATGATGATTCTTTTGGAAGCTGGATCATATAGTCGATATGCTTTAGATACGTCACTGACACCAAGAAAAACACAAGGAAAACTCTTGTTATCGAGCTTAGTTCGCTTGGCTTCAGAAACATGAACATTTCCATTGCAACCAAAAACACGAAAATACTCAACTGAAGGTTTGATGCCACTCCAAGCTTCTTCCGGGGTTTTATTTTTCACAGCAAGAGTAGGGCTTCGATTTAGGATATGCACAGTCCAATTGACAGCTTCCGGCCAAAACGTGCGTGGAACTTGTTTGCTGGAAAGCATGCTTCGAGCAAGATTCATTATTGTTTGGTTTTTTCTTTCGGCAATGCCATTTTGTTGTGGAGAATATGCAGTTGTCAATTGGTGTTTGATACCGTGCTCTGCACAATTTCGCATGAATTCATGAGAAGTAAATTCCCCTCCTCGATTTGTGCACAGGCCTTTGATAACATGACTTGTGTTCTTTTCAACATGAATCTGGAAACTTTTGAAAGCACCTAAAGCTTCTGATTTTGCTGTCAAAAAATAAACCCACATTTTGCGACTGAAATCATCAGTTAAAGTGAGAAAATACCTTTTTCCACTATTGGATTCTGGATTAATTGGCCCACAAATGTCGGCGTGAACCAATTGCAAAATGTGATCTGCTCTCCATGTGCTATGTGAAGGGAAAGACTCTCTATGTTGCTTCCCAACCAAACAATCTCTGCATGTCTTTGTTGAATACTTCAAGTGAGGTAGTGCCGTCACCATCCTTTTCAGATCAAAAGTTTGGAGTCCTTTGAAGCCTAGGTGTCCATATAGACAATGCCAAAGGTATCCTTCATCTTCAGTAACCGTGTTGAAACATGTGGAACTGTTTGGTTGAGCCACAACATTAAGGATAAACATTCTGTTGGCAGCCATATCTGTCTCCATGAGTAGACCCTTTTCCGGATGAAAAACTTTGCATTTTCAACTTTGAAACATGATAGTTAGATTTTTGGCTTGTAGCTGCCCAATGCTTAGTAAATTATTCTTCAATTCAGGCACAAAGAAAACTCCAGTGATGAAATGTGCTCTATCATGTATTTACAAACTTATATTGCCTATGCCCAATACAACCATAGAAGCATTGTTCCTCAATTTGACAGTATCACGATAACTTTCATCAAGATCAGAGAAAGATGATTTCTTACCACACATGTGATTGCTACATCCTGAATCAAGGAACCACTGATTTTCATGAGAGTTTGTGGTATTATCGACAAACGCCATGAGCAACAAAGGTTCTTGACTTTTAGCATAATGAGCCTCATTCTCCTTGGACGAACATTCCCATTGGAAATGTCCAAGCTTGTGGCATTTGTAGCATTCTATAGTTGATCGATCCTGACTTTGTCTACCACGACCTCTGCCTCGAGTTCCACGACCACGACCTCGACCTCCATAGGTAACTGCAAGAGCATGCTCTTCTTCAATGGAAGGAGACATACGTTGTTCATGCAGAAGCAACTTGCTTTGTAGTTCATCAATGGTCAATGCATTTGTGTTGTTTGACTCCTTAATAGAGCACACAACGTAGTTGAATTTTGGCGTTAATGACCTCAAAATCTTGCTCACAACATCACTATCATCTTTGGTTTCACCGTTGGCTTTCATCTTATTGACGATGGTAAGAATTCGAACAAAAAGAGCTGTTATTGTCTCTCCTTCCTTCATGTGCAGAATTTCATCTTCCTTGCGCATGGTCTGCAATTGAGCTTGCTTCACTTTGTTTGTCCCTTGATACTTTATCTTCATAGAGTCCCAAATATCTTTTGTAGTATCCTTTTTGAGAATTGTCTCCAAAATAGAACGATCCAATGCTTGAAAGAGATAGTTCTTGGCCTTCAAATCTTTGAGCTGCAACTCATTATTCTGCTTCTTTTGTGCCTCTGTCAAAACTGTCCCACTTGCAACCTTAGCGATACCTTCTTCTATTAATCCCCAATACTCTTTCGAACGGAGGAAATTTTCCATGAGCATCGCCCAGTGATCGTAGAACCCATCGAATTTCAGAACCGCTGATTGCACAAAAGAACTTTCTGAAGTCATACTTGCAAGTATGGCTTACAACAAACCCTGTATCAAAAAAGCCGAAGCTCTGGTACCAAATGTTAAAAAACAAATATAAAGTGTGAAAATGGAGCTATATCTCTCTGCTTTATTCATATAAATAGTCTTGAATAAGTCATAGCTGAAACTACCCACTAAATATTAACACAACCAATCCACTAATTATGCTGACTGATATCCTCAACAACTGCAACAACCTTTGACATTAATTTCACAAATTATTTACAATGATTTTCCTATAATTCTACAGTTTTACTACTATTTACCTCAATTAACATTAACGACAACTTCAGTAATTGATTCATTGAACTGTAAAAACAGACAGAAAAAACATACCAGAAAGGACAGTAATACAAAAGAAGATGAAAAACAAGAAACATTTGAAACTTGCACGACTCAAACAGTTCTTGTTCTCTTCTTCTTCTTCTTCTTACATTTCATATGAACAATTCATTGTCTATATAAACTTCTTCCACCGTTACCATCTCAAAACTTCAAAAAAAAAAAAAAAACCATTGATGGCACTTCTACACACACTCTCACCTTTACCAAAACCCCTTCTCTTTTCATCCTTCACCAAAAAGTCACTATTTTTGACAAAATCAACACCACCCAGAAACAGAACCAGAAAAACCTTTTCACTAACAGTTAAAGGCGTTGCAGCACCAACTACAAAAACTGAACCGAATCAACCGTTCTCAGAAGCTGAAAGAAACGATTTTGATGATGAATTTGAGGATGAGAGTTCTTCCTCCAGGTTTTCATGGAGAGATCATTGGTACCCAGTTTCGTTGATTGAAGATCTGAACCCTAGCTTGCCAACACCGTTTCAGCTTCTGGGTCGTGAAATTGTGATTTGGTATGATAATTCCAAATCTCAATGGGTTGTTTTTGATGATAAATGTCCTCACCGTCTTGCCCCTTTATCTGTAAGTTCAATTTTTTCTTATTGAAGATTGAATTGAAGAACATTGAATATGTTTGTATAAGTGCTTATAGACCATCTTGAAGAGTTTATGAAAATAAGCTGAAAATAACTTATAGACAATTCAAATAAGGCAATTCAAAATGATCTTTAAGTTTTGTTTGGATTTTGCAGGAAGGAAGGATAGATGAGGGAGGAAACTTGCAGTGTTCATATCATGGGTGGTCATTTGATGGGAGTGGAGGTTGTGCTATGATCCCTCAGGCTTCACCTGAAGGTCCTGAATCGCGTGCTGTTCGATCTCATAGAGCTTGTGCAACCAGGTTTCCTACCTTGGTGTCTCAAGGATTGCTCTTTGTTTGGCCTGATGAGAATGGTTGGGAGAAAGCAAATGCTTCCAAACCTCCAATGTAATGATTAATTTAATCATGTCTTTAGTCTAACTAATAGTATCTTCCCGACGGATTGCTCTTTGTTGTGTACTTTTATTGATCTGTAAGGTAAAATTGTGTATGTTAGGTTGCCTGATGACTTTGTAAAACCAGAGTTTGCGACAGTGAATATTCAGCGCGATCTGTTTTATGGCTATGATACTCTCATGGAGAATGTCTCTGATCCTTCTCATATTGATTTTGCTCATCACAAGGTACAAATGACACATTTCAACTTGACTTTTAGGTGTGCAGGTTATTTTATATTCAAGCAGTGTGCTTGTTCATAATATTTTATCGGTATGCATCAGTATATAGATGCTAGAGATAAGCAGTATCAGAAGTTGAAACGATTTAGTATTTTGCTGTCAAGGTTATCCAAATCACTAACATAACTATGATCTCCATTTCATAGGTTACAGGGAGGAGAGATAGAGCCAAGCCGCTTCCGTTCAAGATGGATTCACGTGGTTCATGGGGATTTTCAGGAGCTAATGAAGGGAACCCGAGGATCAGTTCCAAGTTTATCGCACCATGTTATTACATCAACAAGTAAGCCAGTGGCCTTTGGATTAAAGAACTTTTGATATGAATTCATGTTTTGTTTTCAAAAGACTATTATTTTACGCTAGATTGCTACTATTTTCTTTTTTTCGTTTGTTGATTCCGAATCTCAATAAGTTAAGCTCTATAATTTCAGGGTTGAGATTGATACCAAACTCCCAATAGTCGGTGACCAGAAATGGGTAATATGGATATGTTCTTTCAATGTCCCCATGGCACCTGGTAAGACTCGCTCCATTGTTTGCAGTGCTCGAAATTTCTTCCAGCTCACAGTGCCAGGGCCTGCCTGGTGGCAAGTAAGATTCCTATTTTCAATGCTTTTGTTTCCGTTCTTTTTCGATAAAACCACTCAATGTCCCATTCTGCTTATATCTGCCATTTCTTTGTTCATGTTTCAGGTGGTTCCTAGATGGTATGAACATTGGACTTCAAACAAAGTATATGATGGAGACATGATTGTCCTTCAAGGTCAAGAAAAAGTCTTTCTCGCACAAACCGAGCAAGGCGGTGACATTAACAAACAATACACAAGCCTCACCTTCACGCCGACACAGGCTGATCGATTTGTGTTGGCATTTAGAAATTGGCTGAGGCGACACGGCAATGGACAACCGGAATGGTTCAGCAAGAGCAGCTCGCCATTGCCATCCACCGTACTATCAAAACGCGAGGTATAGCAGTTCAATCAATTATTCCATTATCTACAAAACCAAGAATAAAACACAACTTTGATGATCATTTGCATTTTTGTTTCCTTGTATAGATGTTGGATAGATTTGAACAGCACACACTAAAGTGTTCATCTTGTAAAGGAGCTTACGAGGGATTCAAAACATGGCAGAAAATACTGATTGGTGCAACAGTTCTGTTTTGTGCAACTTCTGGGATTCCATCCGATACCCAGCTGCGCGTAGTTCTGGCTGGACTCGCTGTTGTCAGCGCAGCCTTAGCTTTTACTGTACACCAACTAGAAAAGAATTTTGTTTTCGTTGATTATGTGCACGCCGAAATCGATTGAACATATTATTACAACAAAGATTTAATGACCAGTTGCAAAATGTAAATGATAGAGTTGAGGACTAATACCATTACCAACATGTATGTCGATATGTGTATATATTTTCATTTTCATCAACAGAGTTTAGATCTACCTTGGTGTTAATGATCAAATTCAGTTGAAAGACTGAAGGTTTCTTTTATAATCACATGTGCGGACCAGCAATGGTTATTCTTTTTTTCTTTTCTTTCTTTTCTTTTATAATTACGTTCTAAATATTTTATTCCATCCATCGTTAAGTCTAAATTTTTTATCAGTTCAACTATTCTCCATCTTTGTTTACATTTTCTTCCTTTCAGTAAAATATACATTTAGAACCAAATTCTAAAACAAAGAAATTAGAAATCATAAGTTACAAAAATTTGTTTTCCCCCCGAACTGCTGCTCTGATCGTCCACCACCGATATTGATCTCAATATCATTGTTCTGATATATTATGATCGTCTTCTTCATGTTCAAGTTCTATTAGTTAGTTTTCGTATTTTTTAAACCTTTTTTGTTTCTTCTTCTTCAACAAAATTCCTTTTAGTCTTGTTACAAACTAGTTTTGATGTATGTTTGAGGTGCGGAATATGTTAATTTATGTGTATTAAAATTTTTTGACGTTATTATTGTGTTTTATTTGTTTGGTTTTCAAATCCCTTGCTAAACTTCTGATGTCATGTGTAAATTTTTATATTTAATTGTGAACTTATTTCATGATGCAATGAAAATAATTTATTTCTTCTTGTTAGGTCAATGGTTTTATGATTGGAAATAATTTTGTTAAAACTTGTATCACGATCAGATGTTGAGCAAGATGTCGTGACATCTTGATCAAACATTTTAGCAGGCTCAGTTTTAGTTCTTGGAAGATTTGATTTATTTATTGTGAGATTCTCTGCTATTTTATCTCACATATTTTCGTAAGCCAAGAAGGGTTTATTTTGGAACAACTTTCTCTATTCTAGCTGTGCACTTGTTTCATAAAATAGAATGTTGAGACATTTTAGGAAACATGTGATGTTGTTCCTTATTTTAAGGAGAAGTTTCTGCATAAGTTATGCAGCAATCAGCTTGTGGATTTACATCTAATTGCTTGAAGAGCCCGAAGCCCACACTTGCCAAAGACTTTTAAAAAGGACGATCTAAACCTAATGAAATAGAAAAGTCGTGCGTATCAAAGAGAGTTTTAGGGTTTTTAGTTTGTTCATTGTTTATTGTAAGTCACTCTATTATCACATTGATTTTGAGTTGGACTAAGTTGGAGTTGTAATTTATTAATTAATCATAAACTTTTAAGTATAGCTGATTATGTGTTTTTGAATAGTATCTTCATCTTTCTATTATTATTGTTAGTTTATCACTGTTGTGTGATCGAAGAGAAGTGAGATGAGTCTCATATCTAGGAGTGTCTTAGATAAAAATAACATTTGTAGTGATTAGGTGAGAAGATTGAAAACCAAATGTTGTTTACTTGGGCTTCAAAGAATACTATTTTAGTAGACTTCCTTCCTGACTTGGATACCCTCAGATGTAGGTGATGTTGCACCGTACTAGGTTAACAATTATCCATGTTATTTACTTTCAAAGATTTATCTTACTTGAATAATTGTTCTTGTTGTTGTGATTGGTCTGATATTAGTATCGTGACATTTGGTTCGACATCTGACTTATGTATACCACAATTTCAATTAGCATCAGGGCAAGCACCCTGCTCTATTTTGGATGAGCTCAAGGGAAGATACTTTATGGTACCATGGACAACAAAGGAGGATTCAATAACAGACCATCAATCTTAGATTGCTCAAACTATGAATATTGGAAGGCTCGTATGATGATATTCCTAAAATCTATGGTTAGCAAACCTTGGAAAGCTGTCATAAAGGGTTGGGACCATCCTGTTGTGAAGGACAAAGATGGGAAGGAGACTTTGAAGCTAGAAGAGGATTGGTCTAAATATGAATATGAACTTCCTCTTGGAAATTCCAAAGATTTGAATGCCCTATTAAATGGAGTTGACAAAAATATATTCATGTTAATAAACACATGTTTTATGGCCAAAGATGCTTGGGAAATTCTCATAACCACTCATGAAGGCACATCTAAAGTGAAGATGTCTAGACTCTAGCTTCTCACCAGCAGATTTGAGAATCTAAAGATGAAATATTATGAGAGCATTCATGATTTTCACATGAATATTCTTGAAATAGAAAACTCATCTAGTGCTTTGGAGGAGAAGATGTCAGAAGAAAAGTTGATTATAAAAATTCCCAGGTTTCTTCCAAAGAGATTTGACATAAAGGTGATAGCCATTGAAGAAGCCTAAGACATTAGAAACATGAGAGTGGATGAATTTGTTGGGCCACTTCAAACATTTGAAATGGCTATTAGTAACAAATATGTAAAGAAGAATAATATCATAACTTTTGTATCCAACACTGAAGATGAAGAGGGTCAATGTGACCTGGATACTGAGGAAGGAATGTCAAATGTCATTGTATTACTTGGGAGGAAATTCAACAAAGTGCTGAAGAGAATGGACAGGAGGGCAAGATCTAATGTTAAGAACATATCATCTGACATCAACAAGAACTATGACTTTCGTAGAAAAACGAGAACTGAAGAGAAGTCCAGTCAAAGTAAAAGTATTCAGTGTCATGAACGTGAAGGCTTTGAGCACATTAGAGTAGAGTGTCTTACATATCTCAAGAAACAACATAAAGGGTTGTCTATTTCTTGGTCAGATTATGATACCTCTAAAAGTGAACCTGAGAGTGAATATGCTAAACTTGTAACTGCTTTAATTGGAAGGTGGGACTCTGATGAAGACTTCTATGTTGAAGAAATGTCCTATGATGAACTTATTGCTGCTTACAAAAATTTGTGCATCAAAAGTGAAGAAGTCTGTCGATTAAGAGAAAAACAGAAGGAAATCATAGCTAAACTGCAGTATGAGAAGGAAAAATGCTTAGAGGATATCACTGATCTACAAGATGAAGTGACCCTGTTAACCTCAAAACTTGAAAATATGACCAAGTCCATAAAGATGTTGAACAATGGGTCTGAGGTGCTGGATGAAATTCTACAAGATGTAGAAGGAGGTAGAAGATCTACTGGTATAGAGTTTAATTACCAGTCTTTAAAAAATAAAAGAAAAAAATCACGTGATGTAATTTGTTTCTGCTGAAGTGAAGGTTGAGAGCATAATGTCTGACCAAATGTCACAATATTCTTCCATGGTTCATAAAACTCAGACCATAACCAAGCTCAAGCCTTGAAAATGTCATCATTGTGGTAATTATGGTCACATAAAACCATTCTATTACAGAATGTATGGTTATCCAAAACATTAACCTTAACCTTATCATGTAAGGATTAAAACTAGAAAGGAGTGGAAAGTGAAGGATGTTGTCACTAGTCTTGAAATTCTGGAACTTTAAAATAGTTGTCAAGATTAATGTCCCAACACAAAAACACAATGTCAAGACAAATATTAAGACATTATCTGTTGTCAGAACAATTTTACCAAAATAGAAGTTATGCATAATTAAATTGCAGAAAGTAAAAGACACAATTAATTGTTAACCCATTTCAATGCAACATTACCTACTATGGGGCCTACCAAGCTAGGAAGGAAATCTACTATAATAGTATTATTTCAAAGCCTAAACATTCCTAATTTACAACTTCTCACCTAATGACTACCCTATGAAATTTTTTACCTAGGAACCTCCTAGATATGAGAAACCTCTCTCACTTCCCACAATCACTTTAGTTATAAAACCAGTCACAAATCAGTGACAAGAACCAAATTAGAATATTACACTTCTAATGAAAAATACTCAACTCTTTGCTTAAAAACTCATATGTGAGAAGGATAACTTGATACACAATCAACTCTTTTCTTAAAAGCTCATGAGTGATTTCTAAGTAACAATGAATAATCAGTCTACCTCAATATATCAGAAGATACATAAGTGACATACAAAAACAAACAAAGCACCTATAGTACTCTCAAAACTCTGAACCCTTATTTCAACCACACGTGGTTTTTTTCAATTTAAATTCTTAAGTTTTTAGGTTTAGTAAGTCCCTTTATTTAGACTCTTGCAGTATGGGCTTGGACTCTTCAATCAAACCTAATCTTACAAAATCACCTGCAGAATCTTTTCCCAAAAAATAAGAACAAATCTTCAAAGTTTCCTAAAAAGTCTCCAAGATCCTTTTATAAAACCAAATAAAATATGCATTGTTTCTAAAATATACTTGCTTGGTTGCACCCGCAGAGAACTAGAATCATCCAGAATCTCATATTTTAAAATCAAATCTTCAAGGATTTAAACAATTGTACTGTTATGATGTTCTGGTATAACATGTCACAACATTTGTCAAAAATAGTAACAGTAGACTCTGATGTACCAGTTGGTCAAGATGTCATGATATCTTGCTCAACATCGGACTGTGATACATGTTTTACCAAAATTGTTGCCAATCATAAAATCACAGACCTAACAATCTCCCATTTTGGAAAATTTTGGGTAAAATAACCTTTTCACAATAATTCTGGAGAGAGGAATAAAACAACGATCACACAACATAAGCTACATGAAAACATGTAAATTTTATACAAACTACAAACATAAAAATATATCAGGGATACATTGCAGTTACATATCACCATCTATAATACTCTGGACGCCAGATGTCCAAACATGTGGTCTGACATCAAATCAGCATAGTTATCACACAACACAAGAGCTTGTTCAATCAGACAGGTCCATTACTCCCCCTGTCACACACAACCAACCCCTTAAAGGGAAAACCCAAATAAGCCTCACAAATGGATTCTCCATAAAACACATTAGGCAAGATGTTAGAACTTCTGGTATGACATCTTGCACATAAATCACCATCAATGGTAGCAGCAACAGAAGCACCAACAAGCATGACAACCATCATGATCCTCCTAAATAGTTTCA